TGCCTGCATCACCACCCCTTGCACCCCAACACCCCTGCCCTGCCTCATCCCCTCTCTTCCAGGAACCCTCCACACCACACCCATGGCCTGCAACAACCTCTGCCGTCCCTGCGGACCCACCCCACTGGCCAACAGCTGCAACGAGCCCTGTGCCCTGCAATGCCAGAACTCCAGCGTCATCATCGACCCTGCCCCTGTGCTGGTCACCATGCCAGGACCCATCATGACTTCCTTCCCCCAGAACACCGCCGTCGGATCCACCTCCTCGGCTGCCGTGGGCACTGAACTCAGTGTGCAGGGACAGCCCATCTCTGGTGGCTTTGGCTTTGGCTACGGGCTGGGCTGTGGCTACGGGCTGGGAGGCCTTGGCTGCTATGGCAGAAGGGGTGGCTACATCTGCTAAGGACCCTCAGCATCACTCCTGACACCACCAGCTCCTTCAAGCAAAGGATTTCAGCTGGTGTTCTCCCTTATTGAAGCTCACACCACCTCCATTCCCACTTCTTTCTTCTGCCTTGTTATTCTACTGCCTCAATAAAGCTTCACTGTAATGTAGCCTCAGATGTCTCCTCCTTTGTTCTACCAGCGCTCCTGCAACTTCACCTAGCACAAAGTCAGGGGTCAACAGCCCATCAGTTTATGTGGAAAAGGGGCCACAAGTCCCTATCTCATCTCCTGGGATCTCTGTCAACAGCAGAACCATCCACTGCGCTTCCAGAATGCAGCACAAACCCTTCCTTTTCCCAAAGCCTTGGACACGTTGATGCACTTGTGCACTTGTGCCCATATCCCATACGCAACCTGCTGATGGCAGCACGCATTTGCCCAGTTCTTCCCCACTGTGACTCTCCAAACAACCCAGCACTGGAATCCAGGAGTGCAGAAGGAACCTGGGGAACTCCATTAGTTCACGCTAACCTGGTCCCCAGATGAAGCAACCAACCTTTCCTCAGCAGCCCCTCACAGAAATGGTTCTGTAGGTTCTTCACCAACATCCTTGTTCTTCTGTGGACATTCTCAAGCACCTCAACATCTTTCTTGCTGTGAGGGGCCTAAAACTGAACTCAGATTCAGGGTGTGGCCTCACCAGTACCCAATACAGTGGGACAGTCACTGCCATGGTCCTGCTGGCCCCACTATGGGTAATACAAGCCAGGATGATGCTGGTTTTTGTGGCCACCTGGGAACACATTGGATCATGTTCAGCTACTGTCAACCAGCACCCCCAGATCCTTTTCCTATGGGCAGCTTTCTAGTCACTCCTTCCCAAGCCTGGAGATTTAAGTCTTTACTAAATTCCAAGTAAAAATCATCCAGAGCCTTTTCCTCATTTACTAAGGAGGTCACATTGACATCTCAGGTGATGAGGTTGGTCAAGCAGGACCTGACTTTGCTAAAGCCAGGCTGGCTGGGCATGATCACCTGGTGGTCCTGAAGGGGCCATTAAATACAACTTTATAGATATATAAATATATATATAAAAGTAATACATTAAATACAATAAGATGATCTGCTCCAGCAACTTCTGCAGCACCAGAAGACTGAGACTGACAGGCCTGGAGTTGTCCAGACCCTTCTTCTGGCCCTTCTTCTAGAGAAGAGTCCCATTTTCAAGCCTCCATCAGCTGCAACTTCTCCAGTTAGCCAGGACTGCTGGCAAAAACAACAAGTGGCTTGGGAACACTTTCACCAGCACCCTCAGAGCCCTTAGGTGGATCGACTCAGTACCACACACGAGTCTATCACTCACCATCCTCACTGGATTATGAGGGATTGAAATTTCTCACTGGTAAGGAACTTTCTCCCTCAAAAGGATGTTGTGATGTTGTGCCCATCCCAGGAAGCAGAATCACAGTAAAGAGAATCATTAGTGCTCAAGGAACCTCTCAGAGGTGACCAAAGACTCATGGCTTTGCTTGAAAAGGAACTTGCAGATTCTCTTGTTTCCAACTCCCTGTAGTGGACAGACACCTTCCACTATCCCAGGTCACTTGAAGCCCTGGCCAACCTGGCCATGACCATTACCAGGGTTGGGGCAGTCACAGCTTCTCTAGGAAACTTGTGCCAGGGCCTCATCACGCACACAGGGAAGAATTTCTCCCCAGTGTCCCATCTAAACCTACCCTCTGGCAGTGGGAAGACATTTCCCCTTGTCCCATCACTCTCTGTTTGTGTTGGAGATCATGGAGTTCAACCCAACCTGCTCAAGGAAGGACAGCTCAACAAGGCTGCCCGTAACCATGTCAACTCGAGGTTTAGTAACTTGAGGCCATTTCCACTTGTCCCATCACTTGCTAAAAGGGAGGAAAGGACAACAGCAGTCTCACAAAAAAACTCTTTTCAAACAGCTGCAGAAAGGGAGACAATCTCTCCTTTGGCCGCCTTGTCTGCATCTAAAAATCTGCAGTTCATAAAACCACTACTGAAAATCTTGTTCTCCAGATCCCTCAGCAGCTGTTCCTAGGATGTGTCACACCACAGAAGAACCATTGTAACACCAGGGTGTCAAAGCTGGAGCAGAACCAATGAGAAACACCAGTCCGAAAGACAGGTCCGGTGACCTGGTGGTGATGTGAGGAGGAATGACCACGATGGAAGGGTCATCTCCTCACACATGGCACAGCTGCAAAGACCAGACCATCCTGACAGGTCTGTAATAAAATGGCACCCCTTTGCACAACACACCCACAAACCAAACCACACAAGAGCAATCGGGTGGGGACTCAGATGACACCTCTAAGGCCTCTAAGGTGCTGTTGTCTGTTCTGCATTCTCTGGCACACATCTTAAATGCAAATCCTCCAAAAACATAAACTGTCACTTTAAAGCTGCCACCAAGGTCAGATGGACATGGACTCAAGACAAGGACATGACACTGCCGATTTGTGGGAAGGAAAACACTCCCCACCACATGACTCACAAAGCTGGGGCAGCCAAGAGCTGCAGCCCACAAAATGCTCCAAAGCCATGGGACAAGGCTGTCCCGCCCCTCCAGAGGCAGCATAAAAGCCGGCCCAGTGCCTCTGTCCCTCACACACTTCTCCAGACACCTTCTCCTCCTGCTGTCAACCAGGTGAGCCTCAAACCTCTGATCCTCTCTCCTTCCCCCTTTACCCCTCTCTTCCAGCACCCTCAGCCTCAGCCTCAGCAGCCCTCACACATCCACACAGCCCCACAACAGCCTCCACACTCCCTTGCCTCCCTTGCCCTCCTGTATCACCACCCCTTGAAGCCTTCATCCCTGCCCTGCTTCACACCCCTCTCTTCCAGGGACCCTCCACACCACAACCATGGCCTGCAACAACATCTGCCGTCCCTGCGGACCCACCCCACTGGCCAACAGCTGCAATGAGCCCTGTGCCCTGCAATGCCAGAACTCCAGCGTCATCATCAACCCTTCCCCTGTGCTGGTCACCATGCCAGGACCCATCATGACCTCCTTCCCCCAGAACACCGTCGTCGGATCCACCTCCTCGGCTGCCGTTGGTAGCGAACTCAATGCCCAGGGACAGCCCATCTCTGGTGGCTTTGGCTTTGGCCTTGGCTATGGGCTGGGAGGCCTGGGCTGCTATGGCAGAAGGGGCGGCTACATCTGCTAAGGGTCCTCAGCAACAACCCTGACACCACCAGCTCGTTCCTCTGGCAGCAGCTCCTGCAATCAAAGCACCTTGGCTGGTGGCTACCCTACCCAAACTGCCGACCTGCTCCCTTCAATTTCTTATTCCTTTCTCTTCATTTTTATTGCCTCAATAAAGTCCTGTTGCATCAAAGCATGAGATACCTTCTTTTATTTTTGAATTTTTATGGTCTCACATTCTTACCCAGCAGAGTGCCAGGAATGAAAAGGCAGTTTGGGTAGATGGAAAAGGGGTAAAACATTTTTCTTGGCAAAGATGTCACCATGAGTACCAAACAAGACCAGCAAGGGATATAAGGGAGGAGGGGAATGACCTTTTAGAACATGAAACAAACCCATCGCCTGATAACACCAAAGGCTTTGACATATCAATGCTCTCCTGTGCGTGGCTCTGGTGAAGCCACTCCATGGCAGCACATACTTGACAAACTCTCTTCCCAGCAGGACTCTCAAATCCTCACCACAAACAGAAAAACAACATCATCCACCTGGGCAGGAACTCTGGGGAACCCTTCTGCTAATTCAAAAGCAGGATTTCCAGGACCATGGACAGTTCAGATATGGATCACCGATGACAGGGACTCCACCACCTCTTCCCCTTTCTGACTACCCTCATAATGAAAAGTTCTTTCTTTCTTTGCCCAGAAAATTCAATCTGTTTTCACTTCTGCCCTTGCACACTTTTCCTTCATGGTTGCACTGCTGAGATAAACCAGGCTACTTTGACTTCATTCCCTGCCATCAGGGATTTGTGCACACTGATGACACTCCCCTGTCCATTCTTGTCTCCTGGGAGCCCCAAGTATCTCAATCCTCCGTGGAAGAGCCTTTATATTATCTTGGTGGCCTTGTACTGTTTTTTTTTCAATAAGTCCATGGGGGTCTTCTGCTGGGGAGCCCAGATGTGCCAATCCACCTAAATGTTGAGGATGTTAATCAGTGTTGGCTCCATGGATACAACTCTTGACCTACTTCCCCTGAGACTTGGCTTCACCTGGACTTCAGCTCTTACCCAGAATATTACATATTATATAAATCTGACCATTTACATGACCTGGCCATTCTGGGATAGTCTGGGATGATGCCATGGGAAACACAGTAAAAAACCTTGGTAAAAGGTGGAGGTTAACACCAGTCATGTCTCTCTCACAGTCCTTCTCTGTATGTAACACACAGGTCACTAATACAGGTTTTTGCCCTCCAAAATTAATGCTGAGTTCTCCTCACTATCTTCTTGTCTGACCTGCTCTTGGCAGTGCTTTACAGAATAAAAAAAATGACCCATCCTTGTCTGCAGGAACAAGGTCCCTGGAAAGCCATTAACAAAGTGAGAGGGAGTCAATGCACTGGAAGGGGCAGGTCCTAATGCTCAGCACAGCTGCAAAGCCCAGAGCAGCCTGGCAGGATGAAGAGGGCCCTTCTTCACAACACACCCACAAACTAAACCACACAGGTGCCACAAAATGGCTTCACTGATGACAGCCTTATTACTCCTAGGTTTTGTTGGATATTCTGGTATCCCTGACACACATCTTCCAAGCAAAACTTCCCGAATACCAACTATCACTTAAAAGCTGCTGCCAAGGTCAGATGGACATGGACTCAAGGGCAGGAAATTGAGTTGTACAGTTCCTGGAAGG